TACTGCTTGGCCTGCTGTGTTCATCCAGCCCTGCACCTTCTTATCCTTAAGACCAGATTGGATTGTTTGCAAGCTGATGAATTGGAGCAGACATAGGCCATTGGCCCCTTGATTCTACTGCGTCATTCCACACTATATTCACTTATCTTATTTGTATTTTGAATTCCACGCTTTCCATTTACCCCGATTTAACCTCTGATTCCCTTGACTGACAAGAATCTTTGAACTCTCAATGAGCTGAATGGCCTACTAATGGTCCTGCATAGCTCCATTTTAAGAATATTCAATAATCGCAACTCCACTGCCATGAGGTAGAGAGTTCCAAAGTCATACAGCACTCCGAGGCGGGGGGGAAAATGAAATCTCCTCCTCTATGCGATAGTAAGAACTGCTGATGCTGGAGTCCGCGATAACACGGTGTGGAGCTGGAGGAACACAGCAGGCCAGGCAGCATCGGAGGAGCAGGAAAGCTGACGTTTTGGGTCAGGACCCTTCTTCAGAAATGGGGGAGGGGGAAGGGAGCTGGGAAATAAAGAGGGTGGGGGGGTCAGGCTGGGGAAGGTAGGTGGGATGGTGATGGGTAAGTACAGGTAGGCAGTGGTGGGGGTTGGTCAGTGAGGTGGGAGGAGTGGATAGGTGGGAGAGAAGACGGATAGGTCAAGGAGGCGGGGATGAGAGGGAGGGTTGGTCGTGGGATGAGGCTGGGGGTGGGGAGATTCTGAAAGTAGTAAAGTCCACATTGAGACCATTGGGTTGTAGGTTCCCAAGGCGGAATATGAGGTGCTGCTCCTCCAGTTTCTGGGTGGTGTCGTTGTGGCACTGGAGGAGGCCCAGGATGGACATGTTGTCCAGGGAGTGGGAGGGGGAGTGGTTATGACTGGAAGGTGTTGTCGTTTGCAGCGGACTGAGCGCAGGCGCTCTACAAAGCGGTCTCCGAGCCTCCGCTTGGTCTCCCCGATGTAGAAGAGGCCACATCGGGGAGCAGCAGCTGCAATGTACCACGTTAGCAGATGTGCAGGTGAACATCTGTTTAATGTGGAAGGTTTTCTTGGGGTCTGGGATGGAGGTGTAGGGGCAGGTGTAGCATTTCCTGTGGTTGCAGGGAAAGGTGGTGGGGCTGGTGTGGAGTGTGGGGAGTGCTTCCCCAGCCCTCTCTTTATTTCCCAGCTCACTTCCCCCTCCCCATTTCTGAAAAAGGGTCCTGACCTGAAACGTCAGCTTTCCTGCTCCTCTGATGCTGCCTGGCCTGCTGTGTTCCTCCAGCTCCACACTATTATCTCCTTCTCTCTGCCTTTTTAAAACAGAGGCTCTGAATTTTAAAAGCAGCTCCCTCTTGTTCTGAGCTATTCACAAGAAGAAATGTCCTTTCCACATTTGAACTTGTTGAGGTCCTTCAAGGTCTCTTCTCTTCTTCGTATCACCACTGACCCCTCCAAACTCGGTCTGTCAAACCTGTGCTCTTAATCTTGGAATCCCTACAGGTGTAAAATTGTATATATTCAACACATCATGTCCACACCGGCCCTCTGAAGACCATCTCACCCAGACACAGCACCCCCCACCCCAGTTCATCCCTGTAACCCTGCATTTCCCATGGTTAATCTAAGTAGCCTGCACACTCCTGGATGCTATGAGCAACTTAACATGGCCAATCCACCAGTGCAAACTCCACACCTACAGTCACCCGAGGGTGGAATCGAACCGGAGTCCCTGGTGCTGTGAGGCAGCAGTGCTAACGACTGAGCCACCGTGATGCTCGTTTGCACATTCTCCCCGTGTCTGTGTGGGTTTCCTTCGGGTGCTCTGCTTTCCTTCCACAGTCTTAAAAAGATGTGCAGGCTAGGTGGATTGGCCATGCTAAACTGCCCATGGTGTTCAGGTAGATTAGGTGGGTTATAGGGGGATGGGTCTGGGTGGGATGTTCCTGAGGGTCCATGGGACTTGTTGGGCTGAAGGGCCTGTTTCCATGCTGTAGGGATTCTATGAATTTTTAAGTAAGGAGACCAAAACTACACACCATATTCAAGACATGAAGCATGACACTGTTGCTTTTATGTTTAATTATGGTAATG